GTCTCCTTTAAGCTCAACTCTGGCCAAGCCTCCTGACCCCTTGGAGTACAGGGCTGTGCAGCTACTTTGTGGAGCACTTGGGGCATTTCAATCAAGTTGCAAACGGGCTGGGAAGGGATGGGTTGTGGTGACCTGGAGGAGTGGATAGATGACCTCACCCAGCTGCACACAGAGGGCGTGGGTCAGGCACTGTGTACTTAAACTTGGCATTGAAGTAGAATGGACATCCCGGAAGGTGATGTGACAGCGATATCCCCCCACAGACACTCACAAGGGAACTGCCCCAGGGAGCTGTCCCAGATACTCCTCCACCCTCCGGTCACCCCCACTCCCCTGGAAGCATTACCCACTCCAGGCACTTCAGGGTACAGAATGGAGACCCTCCAGTTCCCCAGGCAGCACTTCCTCTGCCCTCCCTCCCAGCTGGTTCCTCCAGGCACCAGCCCTCAGCAGCACCACAAGCTCAAGGGTTAGTGACAGACGGCCGAGCAAGGCAAAGTGGTCTCAGGGGCTCTGAGCAGGAAGGGATTTAATGCAGGGAAGCAGAGTCGCAGGACCCAGGATGGGCTGCAGACTCCGGGTGGGCCTCCTGGGAGACTCGGGCACAGAGCGCTGCCCTGCCAGGTGCTGTCACCATGGCAGCCCCTGGAGCCGTGCCAGGAGCATGAAGCCACCAGGGCCACTGCACTGCCACTGCCCTGCACCCCCAGGATCTGGAGAACAGACCCACATGACTGTGAGCACCTGAGAGCCAGGTGAGGCAGGGGAAGCAGCCACACCTGCAGCCACCCCCACTCCAGCACACAGAGAACACGGCAGGACAAGCTGGTGTCTCCGTGGGGTGCCCCCATGGCCCCACATCTCATACACACTCACCTGATGGGTGGCCTCCCCCACATCCGGGACCCTGGCTAGAGTCTGGGAGGTGGCTGCCCACATCCTGCCTCTCCCAAGCACGGAAGCAGGGATACAGGGCCCCAGCCCTAGCCGCCTGGGTGCAGCGAGGGGCCCCCTCGAGCCTGCTGATGGCCAGTGACCCACCATCCTCTCATCCTAGCGGCCCCAGGTCTGTGGTCTTCCAGGCAGGAAGTGTCCAGCAGGCCAGAGGCAGCTCCTGTGTGCGTGGAACAGCCGTGCTTACACAGGCGTCGGCCCATGGCGCTGGCAGGGCTCCTGTCACACCAGCCGTCGGGCCCGTGGCGAATGCCAAATGCTGGTGCCGGGAAGGGAAGTGGGAAAGGACAAGGTGGCGGGCAGGGGTGGGGGGACCTGAGAGGGAGCGGCCTCGACGGGGTGCATGGGGGTGGCAGAGGCAGGTGTGTGGATGTGTGTGTGACGTGCCCACTGCGTGTGCGGCTGCGCGTGTGGCGTGAGTGCTGGCGTGTGTGTGCCGAGGGCCTGGTGCCGGGGCCAGGGAGGCCAGGGTGGCCGCTAAGGGCCTGCAAGCTGTTTTTTGATTTGTAGTTATTTGAAAAGTCTACACAAGAGGAAAATTAAATCTCATTTACTAAATACAATAAACTTACAGGAAGGCAGAATTGTCGCCAAATTACAAACATGTGGACTCTTAGTTGCTCCATGATAGCTCAGCCCCAGACCACGCGGCGGACATGGCAGCCCTGAGCCCCGGGCCCAGCTGCTCCCCGCCAAGGTAGCACAGGAGCCTGGTAAGGCAGACCCCCGCAGCCCCACGAAGCAGGGGCCTGTGTGGAGGGAGGGCCCCTGCCTGCTGTCTCTGCCTAGCCTGCAGTCCTGCCCCCGCCGGGCAGAGGACCCTGGACGGCTCCTGACTGTGACCTCTCTTGGAAAGCGGGTCTGGGCCGGTCCGACCGTCTTCCCTCTGGGGAAATCTGAGGCCCACCAGCAGCGGAAGCAGGTCTTTGTGTGGCCTTGCCCTGCAGGTCCAGGACCGTGTCCCAGAATCAGAGCCCAGGCCAGACACCCTCGCCAAGGCTTCACCCAGGAGGGAGGTGATGGGAGGCCAGGGCGGGGCCCAAGCTGGAAGTGAGAGGGGTGGGGTCTGGGGCAGAATGACAGCCAGCACAGAGTGGGCAGAGGCCAAAGCAGGGCCCAAGGTGGCCAGGTGGGCACCAGTCTGGGAGGTGCCCAGACTTGGGAGACACTCAGCCTCGCACTGAGCATGGGGAGGCGCCGGAGCCAGGCGCCCGCTGCCCGGAGAGCAGGGCTGGGTCTTCAAGGGCCCCTGCTTCTGGGTGTTGTGCCGCCGCTGAGGCTGAAGCCCAGTCACCCTGGCTCCATGGTCCCTGTGCAGACTCCCAGCGGCTGGCTACCCCTGACCACCTACTCTCAAATCCAGGCACACCCTGGCACCACCCGGCCAAGAGTCCACATGGTCCCGGGGCACCCTGCTTGCCTCACTGGCCTTGTCCCAGATCAGGAGGTGCTCACAGCACCCTCCTACGCGCCAGCCTTGAGCTTGAGCAAACGCCAGAGTGTCGTGAGGCCAAGCGCAGCCTGGCCCTCCACTCCGGCCCTGGTGGCTGTCCGCTGTGTCCCCTAGGGAGAAAGTGGTTTCTCTTTGGCCCAAGCCCACCTGCCCCTGCCTGAGGGTGCCCTGGGACTCTGTGCTCAGCCAGTCGGAATCCTGAGTGCTCGTGTCCACAACAGGCCCAGCCAACAGGGAGAGGACCTGGGGCTCCCCTTGGCGGCATCACAGAGGAGGCCCCCCCAGGCACCGCTCATTCACGTGGCTGCTCAGCCCTGCCCTCTCCCTCCACCCCGATTTCCCACTGGGCTTGCAGGGGTCACCCCAAATAAACTCTGTCACCCAAGCCATGTGCCTGGGACCGGACGTACCTGGTGGAGGGTGCTCCAAGCACAGGAGCTGGCGCCCAGGCTGCCTGAGGAGGCCAGGGCGTGAGGACTGGAC